TTGAATAAAACCTTGAGAACAATTTTGGTTACACAATTTTTTCTCAAGTGGTATTCGTCATGACTATTTCACGTAAGATTTTGAAAATAAATAGAATGCCAAAATATGCTTAAAAACTTCAAATTAAAAATATCAGTTTGTCAAAAAATGGTTGCTGAAATACCATATTGTTGATATTGTCCAGGTAGCAATATTAACAGCTGAATACCGAATTTATTGCCGGTGTAATACACTCTAGTGAAATAGTCAAGTTTATAATATTTTCCCAATAAACCCAGAATCAATTCGTATTCCTGCCTTTGCACTGTGTGAACCTGCACCGATATAATTAGAGGCCTGGTTAAGTTCCTCAGTTATACATTTCAATTCTTCAGTCACAGATTGTAATATAAAATTTTTAATGTATCCGTGTTGTTGTGTGTTGCGCTCCGGGTTTTTTTATGGTTTTTCAATGGAAATAGTGGTCGGATTTTTTTGAAAATTGCGCAAGTAATAAATAGTACTTCGGTTAGTTGATTTTTTATATTAGTGTATCCCCAAGAATTCAAGTTTGAAAGTAATTCGTATTTCAACTAAGAACAATGGGGGACAATAGTTAAAATAAATAAACAAATTCCAAAATAGCGTCAATAGTGCAAAAAAAAAAAAAAAAAATTATTCAGTGCAGAATGAACTACAGCCATAAATCTTCATAGTCAAGTAAAAACAGCTTGTGACGTACTTGAGAGGCGATATTTCAATACAATCAAAAACATTGCCTTACGATAATCTAATAGGTGCGCTCGGAATTGTGCCAATCGCTAAGGAAGGATGACAATCTTGGTCTGTTCTATATGCAATCTTGAATGCATTTTCAAGAGCAGACCTAAGGAAGATGAAATCTTTGGCGCTCCCTGCGATATTTGTAAAAACGTCTTATGCAAGAAATGCGCTGGGCTTACCACTACAGAGGCGCATGCGGTTGCGCTGGGAAAGGCGAGAGCTTTGCTTTTCTGTTGCGGGGAGTGTAAGGCTCTCATTAAAGACCAACAACCTGGATGTAGTGCTGTAAACCAGAACAGTGATCAAGATTCCGTCAACTAAGATGAATCAGTACTCAAATTAAGGAACGAATTATCTAAGCTAGAACAACTGAATATGGAGCTTTCAGAAAGAATTCTCATTTTGGAAGAAAAATCTCGTGATGAAAGTTTGCAGCTTGAAGATGCTAAAGGAACTTGTGAGGAAATGTTGAATTCAATCCGAGCATTGGAAGCGGATAATGAGGCTTTGCAGCGGAAATTGGTAGAAGGGGAGAATGAAGTTCTTCGTTACGTTGGCGAGCCAGTGGATGGATCAAAAAAAGTGGTAGAAGAGATACATAATATTTTAATATATGGTGACCATTTGGCAGGTGGTATAGGAATTATTCTGGATAGCTTTCTGGGCCTGGGCAGGAAGTTCAAGATATCAGCAATCATTAAGGTAAATGCTTTCATGGAGGATATTGTTAGCAATATTGTAAGCACAACCAAAAATTTAACAAAAAAATGATTTTGTGATTGTGATGGGCGGGTTCATAAATATCTTGAAAGGTCAGCATATTAAAGAGGGGGTAATTCAGAGTCTTAGAATGGTTAGTGAACAAACAAATTTAATACTATTTACGGTTTCTTTATGGAACAATAATCAGGTTGTGAATAATTTTATAAATAATCATAATAAGTTACTGTTCGATAGTATTTTTCACAAGTTATAATAGTAAATTTTTCGTGCACTTTAATGCAATTGTAAATGCTTCAAATTTTTATTATGATTCTCAAGGTAGTAACGGTTTGAAACTTAAATTTGGAGGGAGAATCAAAGTAGCAAGGGCCATACAAAGGTTAATATTGAATAACGCTAGGTGCCAAAAAAAGGGTAGTAACTTTAACGATAACATTTCTGCTAGGAAGCATTTTTTAGAGAAAGGGACATAATTTTGATGAATTCTCAAAGTCTTTTATCTAGGTTTGATGAAATTCACAATTTTATATTAGAAACAAAGCCTATGGCAATATGTTTAACAGAGACAAGACTCACAGATTGTATAAGTGATTTTGAGATTAGTATTTTGAATTATAAAGTTTATAGGGTGAATAGTGAAAACAGGCACACTGGTGGTGTAGTAATTTACATAGATGATTGTGTTGACATGTTAAATATTGAACAATATGTATGTAAAAAAAAGTTATTGGTTTATTGTCTTGAAAGTCTCTATTTGTGGCAAAACTTATGTGATAGGTAATTTGTATCGTTCTCCTGGTGCAAGTTGTTCTGAATTTTTGAGCTTTTTTGAAGGTTGGTGTAACGCATCTGAGGACATGAGTCATCCTGTTATTATAATGGGAGACTTCAATATTAATTGGTTGGCTGAGGGTACATATTCGTTGAGATTGAGGAAGATTGTCAATGACTCAGGTTTCACACAGAATGTCAATTTAGTCACTCACCCTACAGAAGAAGGAGGTAGCTTAATAGATTTAGTTCTATCCAACAATAAAGCTGGTATCGTCAAGTGCCAAGTTATGGAAACACCCCTTATTAGTGATCACCATATTGTAAAAACCATCATTGGGTTGAACCAGGCCTACGCAGAAAAAGTAACTGTATGTACAAGAGGTAAAATAGATTATCAACAGGTGAATATTGAATTGTCAAATATCTTGTGGAACTACAAAACGAATCTCAATGATATAAATGCTAAGTATCTTTATTTTTATAATAACATATTGGATGTTCTGAACAAAGTAGCTCCAAAAACTGAAAGGGTCATTAAACAGAACTATAGAGAATGGTTTAACGATAGAGTGAAAAATGCCATCACAAAGAGGGATAATAGTTATAAAACGTTCAAGTCAAATAAAAAGGTAGAAAATAGAGAATATTATAAACAATGTAGAAATGCAATAGTAAGAATCATTAGGGAAGAGAAGGAAGTTTTTTACCATAAAAAGATACGACATGGCAAAGAATAATCCCAAACAAATGTGGGATACACTGGGTCAACTTATTATAGATAAAAATAAAAAAAACATAGGAAAAGTAGAAATCAATAATGAAATGAAATCATCACCGACCCCACAGATATAGCTGAAAATCTTAATATATATTTTGTCAACAGCATAGAAACCATAATTTCATATATAGACAAGGGTGATGATAACCCTAGCCCAATGACATCCCTAGCCCCACTCCAATGTCTCAACGTGATGGCTGTTTCACCTCTTTTCAGTTGATAGATTTTAATGAGTTGAACAGCATCATTACCTCCTTGCCCAATAAAGGAAGTCCAGACGATATAACGACAGAGTTTATTAAAAAAACATACCACAACATAAAATAACCCCTTTTGAATCTAATAAACACTTCCTTAGAAACTGGTAAATTACCATGTCTGTTAAAAACATCAACAATAATTCCAGTTCAAAAAATCAGGGGTTCTATAAACGCAGGTGATTTTAGACCAATAAATCTTCTGGCGACAGTTGAAAAGATTCTAGAGAGGGTGGTATACAGTCAATTGATGGAGTATATTAATTCAAATAACATCCTTATTCCAAGTCAGTCGGGGTTTAGAAAGGGACATAGTTGTGAGACAGCAGTACAAAATATTCTGTATGATTGGAAAAATCTTCTTGATGATGACTATGCTGTGGGAGCTGTGTTTTTGGACTTACAGCGCGCGTTTGAAACTCTAGATAGAAGTAAATTGATAAAAAAAATGCAAAATTATGGAATTTTGAATGACGTACTTGATTGGTTTGTGGATTACCTGGATAACAGAAAACAAATATCAAAAATTGGGAACAATATATCAACAACAAAAACAAACAATTATGGCATCCCCCAAGGCAGTACTCTTGGTCCATTACTGTTCTTGTTGTATATTAACGATATTGATTCGGTGATTCAAAATTGCTCTATACACTTATTTGCGGATGATACATTGATCTATTTTTTTTCAAAAGATCTAGTTAGCCTGATGCATGCAATAAATCTGGATCTTCAGCAAATTCAGTTGTGGTTCAATGACAATATGCTTAAGCTAAATGTTGGAAAAACGAAATTCATTATGATTGGAGGTAACAGGATCCAGCATGAATATAATCAGTATGATTTGAAGATAGAAATAGGTACTGAACGTGTAGAGGTGGTACAGAAGATCAAGTATTTGGGGTTCATCATCGATAATTCTCTTAACTTTAAAGAACATATCCTGTACATCATTGACAAAATATCAAGAAATGTAAATTTTCTGTCCAGAGTGTCCTCATCATTATCAAAATGGACCAAAATAACAATATATAATACCCTGATCTTACCTCACTTTGTGTATAGTGCAACAATACTATTTACTGCCAACAAAAATGAAATGAATCGCCTGCAAAAGTTGCAAAATAGAGCTATGCGTATAATATTGAAGAAAAGAAGGGACACACGTATAGTTGACTTGCTGAATGGATTGGATTGGTTACCTGTTGAAGGGTTTGTCAAGTATCAAACAATGATCTTTATCTATAAAATAAAAAATGGAATTACACCTGACTATTTGACAAATAAATTGATCACCAGTGGGGACATTCACAACTATGCAACTATAGAAATAGAGACAATTTTTATGTTGCAAAAAAGAATAAATCGCTGAGAAAGCAGTATACCATAAAGGGGTTAATAATTTTTAATGCATTGCCCAATGAGATAAAGAACTTGCCAACCATTGGATTGTTTAAGGGGAGACTTAAAGAATACTTGAAGGGAGAATGATGCAAATGAAAAGAAAAAAAAAAAAAAAAAAAAAATGGGCTGTATTTTGTTAATTCAAAATTGTCCAATGATCTCCACATTGTAAGACGGTAGTATTACTAGATGAACTAATTATTATATCTCTTGTATTGTAATATTTATAGTATCAAATTTTTTGTACTAAATTAGATGAAGTCTAAATAAAGCAATTATTATTATAAAATACAAACACTTACTTCCTGAATTTCTTCAATATCATCATCATCTTCAATCTCTCTTTTCAATTCCAAGTCTATTTTATTAGCTGCTGCGAGTTTTAGAATACACCCCATAATTTCATCGCTCGATGGTTTCAATACAGCTGCCTGGAAAGCAGAGACGTTCTGAAAATCTTTCTGAGCTTCAAAATCGAAACTTGGATGTTTCAAAAAATATTTCACAGCCTCCGCAAAGTCATGTTCGACTGCCATTCTGAATGGGGTATGTCCGTCCTTACAATGTTGCCTATTTATATCTGCTCCCGCGTCGCACAATACCTTTATTGCTGTCATATTGGCAGTTTCAATAGCAAGCGTTAAAGCTGTTGAACCATCTAAAGAAGAAAAAACTTAAGTCTTTGTTAGCACCATATTTAACATCTTTACCGTAATCCTCAAGATCGATTTTAGTGTTTTTGAAAGATAAGAGCAACTCAAACATTTTCAATGTGGCTGCAGATTTGACGGCTTCGTGCAAAGGTGTACGTCCCAGGGAATTTTGTTTTGTCGGATCTGCATTTACGCGCCGCAAATATCCCACAAACTCTTCGTTGCGACACATTACAGCTATGTGAAGTGGGGTTAAATCATCCGCATTCACGACATTAGCCAAATGCAGTTGCTTGGATAATAGCAACATTTTTAGTATGAACGATACTTCGGCTTTTTTATTTAAAGCAATGAATACATGTAGGGCACTGGAATGTAATTAATAGTTATGAAATGTACCATCTATAAGAGCAAATCTTACTTATTTTGTCTTGGTTGCTCGTTATTTGCGTCCAAATGATGTGCCAACATTAGAGCGGTACGTGTTTGGGACTCTTTGGACTTGGCAAAACTTCTCAGTTCATCGTAAGTTTTTTGTGCTTTTGCAAAATCTTCAGGTGTAACTTCCATTTTTACGACCGTCGAGTCTGTTTGTTGTGCTGCTAATGATGTATGACGTTGGCTAAAATAACATTTTATACAGTCCACTTATTGAACATACAAAAATAAAGAATAGTTGAACAAAAAAAAAAACCAATAGCTACTTACATATTTGTAGGTGGTCGCGCACCAATGCGCATATTGTTAAATTGGTAGGGCAATATACCATCTTTGGCTATAACTTCTGGTCTAATCAAATCGTTGGGCAACTCACTTGCGACGCGCTCAAACAAAAGTTTAAACTCATCAGAGTTGAAGTCATTCATTGCTGTGTTCAGTTGATCGTCTGTCAAAGGCGGCTGTTGATTCCAGCTATTAGCATTCGGCAGTGCAAACATATTCTGTGTTTGCACGGCTGCAGTAATTGTTACTGGTAACTCTTTGCTGTTTACACTTTTGCTGTCATAACTTGAAGAACTATCCAGACAGGAACGCGGCCTTTTATACCCAGTTTTGTAATCATTATTCGGAATATAGCGAAACTCTCTCATTTCACTTCTGGCCGAGTCCGAGGGTCTTACTAGTTCCATGTAAACCTGAACTGGACCTGTGATGTCTTGGTCTCGGTAAGCTGGCGTTCTGAAGAATATTAGAATATACCTATCAGTATGCTGGTAATATAATCTGAGACGGAACATACCTAAAGACTATAGCATATTGATGATGAACGTCTAGCTCTGAAAATTTCCCATCGCCTTCCCAAACTTCTTGTTCGTCGTCATCCAACTCGAAAAATCTAATTCTGATATTTTCTGAAAACAAATAAATGCATTATCTAGTAGTCTCTTAAGTTTTTTGATTATAATTTATTTTTTAGTGAATTTTTATGACCAAAAATACAGAAAAACGAGAATCTTCGGTTATAACGTTCACATTAACCTAACGAAATTTCTCTGTGAACCCATCTTAACTGAGCAGCATTACATTTCTACACATTTTACATTTTTGCTTACTCTTTGTTACTCGTTCAACCAAAAGAAAGATTTCTTGTCCACCTTTAGCTTTGCTGGAGCAATGGTCCATACGAACAATTTTCAAGTCGCCAGTGAGTGCGCATTCTAGAAGGAACATGCAATACAAATTAGTTTTAATTCAAAATGGTTGTTCAGCCAAAACCACACATTGCCAATACTTACTCAGGTTATTGATTCCGTGACTAAAAATTGGCGGACAAATAGGATTTCTTATTCCATTTTTAACAATGTATGCATCAAATCTGAGACGAACAATATTCAAATTAATAGTTTTGCTCTCGTGTTCTGCTAATGCTTTGATCTGAAATAATTTTTAAATGTTTTTGCATAAGTCAAATCATTACCATGTTATTGGGGAAGAAGTTATCTGGCATTTGCAACATTGTTGCAGCTAATCAAATAAAGGAATTGCAACTTTGTAATACGTATTATTTAACTGGAATATTATCAAAACAGGACAAGGAGAATGTTTGATTAGATTATATTGCAAAAAAAAAATGCTGATCTTGAGTACTTGATTACTCATTATTGTCCCATCCTATCTTATTATTTTCCCAGAATTTCCAGATAAAAGTTTATTTTTAACTAGTTATCATTTTGATGGCAAAATATGGTATTGCTGTTAAGTTTAAGTTTAAGTTAAAATAATTTAATTCTTGGAAAGCCAACCTGAAGACAAAAATAATGTTGATAATCTTTTTTTGTTGTTGAGATTTTGTGTTTAAATAATCATTTCAGACACCACAAACTCCATACAGTGATTCATTGTGGGATTTGAAGCCAAAATATATGAAAAAAGGCACTCAGGAAATTGGAAAATTGATAAAACTTACACGATTTTATTTCTAAGGCTATAAGCCCAAATAAATTGAAATATTCAGGGATTATAGTCCTTCACTGGGCTAAGAATCACTGAAAATTTCAGCTATCTTTAATAGAATAAAAGTTATGGGTGTTCAAAGTTTTCAGAAATCCAAACCATAAGGTACTTTTGTACTAAAATGATGATATTTCAAATTATTTTATGTTGAAATTTTGTGTCTAAATGATCATTGGAAAACACCCAAACTCCATACACTAATTTATTCTGAGATTTGAGACCAAAATTTATGGGAAAAGTTACTCAGAAAATTGATAAATTTATTCTAAATTGCTTAACGTCATTTTATTTTTGGAACTATAAGTCCAAATGAACTGAAATTGGGATAAGAGTCGCTAAAAATTTCAGCTTTCTATCTATAATAGAAAAAAAGTTATGGGTCTTCAAAAATGCTGGTTTGATTTTTTTAGATATTAGTATGTTTATCTATTCTCAATTGAACCACCACAAAAAATAAATCTCCATTAACAGTTGGCGTTTTCTTTATGAAGCATAGGCGGCGAGGTTTCCAAAAATGTTTCATTTATTTATTTATTTATTTATTTATTTATTTATTCAAGTGTACAACTACAGAGCAAAAATATCTAAATGGTACACATTTGCAGAACTTAAAACTAAAACCAAAAACAAAAACAAACTACAATAATAAAGACAAGAAAAAGTTAGTAAGGTATAGCTTTTTTAACTGAACTCAGATTAGTGTTGAAGAGGTCCAAATGAAAGAAATGACTATAATAGATTGTGGCAAGTCTAGTCATCAGACAGTTTTGGCCATAATTTGTTCTGTGGACTGGTTGGAAAAATAGTTGCCTTTGTCTAGTTCTTCTGCCAGGGACGAGGAAATGGATATCTTGTAAAAGTTCAGGTGAACAAGTAATATCACATATCAACTTATACAGGAAGATCAATTGTGCATTCCGACGTCTATTTTCCAGGCTAGTTAAGCCACACAACAGCAGACAAGTGTTGTAGTCCACATCCTGATAAGGAAATCTTAGTTTATATAACAAGTATTTAACAAATTTATTCTGAACTCTTTCGATCCTCTGAATGTGACAATTATAGTTAGGTGTCTAAATTATACTACAGTATTCCAATGTAGACCTTATCAGACTGTAGTAAAGTGTGGTTATTGCTTTGAGATCATACATATCTCTAGTGTTTCTCTTGATACCGCCGAGCAGTCTAAAACTCTTAAGCACAACATTATCGATAAGTTTATTGAAAGACAGATCTTTCTGGAATATGACACTCAAGTCTTTAATCGTATCCACCGTGTCCAATCTTTCATTTTCAAGAAAGTATGTGTGCAGGACTGGATTCGTTGTTTTGTAGAAACTTATATGCTTGCACTTCTTGGGATTAAGTTTCAATAGGTTACTTTTACACCAGTCAGCAAGTCTATCCAGGTCAGGTTGGAGGGGGTTGGAAACTGAATCTACATTAGCAAAAAGCTTAAGGTCATCGGCGTACAATAGACACCGTGAACCACTGAGACACCCGACGACATCGTTGATAAAAAGCACGAACAAAATTGGGCCGATGTGTGATCCCTGAGGCACACCCGATGGGACTAAAAACTCATGTGAGAGTACACCACACATGTTTACCCGTTGTTGACGCCCAGTTAAGTAGGAGCGTGTCCAGGACAAGAAACTTTCACTGAAACCAATACATGATAGTTTTCTCAGTAGAATCTTATGACAGATGCTGTCGAAAGCTTTAGATACATATATGGCATCAACTTGCTTCCCAGACTTCAAAGCAACTGTTAGGGCTTTTTGATAACAGGCCAAGTTTGTAGCCGTCGATTTGCCTCGACAGAAAACATGTTGTTCATTAGCGATGTACATCTTGTAGCAGGAGTAAATGTCATCAGTCAGTATGGATTCTATTATTTTGAGAATATGGGATAGAAGAGAGATCCCTCTATAATTTTTAATGTTGGTATTTACTCCGGATTTGAAGATAGGGATAAGATTTGATAATTTCCATGTTGTAGGAAAAAATCCTGTATCGAAAGAAAGTTGGAACAGTTGTTTAAGGGGGTTTAGCAAAGATGAGCAGCACTCTTTTAAAAATATAGGTGATAGTCCGTCTGGTCCTGGATTCTTGGAAATGTCCAAATTAAGGATTTTCTCCCTTATTTTTTCAGCCATGAACGCATGATCTGACAAGTTTGCTCCAAAATCGACGGAGTGATTTCCGTTAAGTTGCACATTAGTATGATCAGAAAAACAGCTTTTGAAGTGTTTAGCGAATAGTTCGGCGATTTGTCTCGGATGAGAAGATTTGATATGATCCAGTTGCATCTGGGATGGCAGACCTGCATCCCTTCTAAGTGACTTGATGTAAGACCAGAAATGCTTAACGTTTGATGTGTTGAGTCTTGGTTACATGAAGCAGGTAACACATGTCTGTATGATATCTAACTTTGCGTCTTGCAACTGAGTAGGCTCTGTAATCTGATCCCGCTCGCGATCTCCAATACTTCTTGTACAGTTTATTCTTATGACCGATTAGTTTCCTTAGTTCACAGTTGAACCACTTTGGATACTTATTAGTTTTAATTACTTTCTTGGGTACAAATAAGTCAATGCCCTGGTAAATTACTTCATAGAAGTGAGCGACGGCAACGTTTGGGTCAGATTGTTGCAACAGATTTTCCCAGCCAATGTTGTTTAAAAACTCGTTGAGTTGTGCGTAGTTTGCTTTCTTGAAAAGATAAACACTGATAGGATTAGTATTTTTCATATTTTTACTACCCTTATATTTAAACTCAAGTTCTAGTGGTGGGTGGATATTGACCACAGAATGTCAATAGTGGAATCCAAACTTCGGTTGAACCAAATGTTTTCAATAATTATTTTTGCACCATAGCTGGAGACCTGGCTACAAATATTTCCCCAATTACCAACCCGTTGGATTATTTGAAGGATACCTGTATAACCGACTCGTTCTACCTTTGGCCAACTGATTCGGGCGAACTTCGGACCATCTTCAGTGATATTAAAAATAAAACTGCAGTCGGGTGGGACGGGATTTCTCTCAAGATTTTTCAGCACCTTCCTGATTGTACAATTAGCGCTCTGGCTGATGCCATCAACATCTCTTTCTTAAGGGGAATTTTCCCAAACTCATTGAAGAAGTCGTTAGTTATCCCAATTTTTAAAAAGGGTGACACTGAATCTCCCGCTAATTTTAGGCCCATCTCATTAATAACAACTCTTTCAAAAATAGTCGAAAGGTTAGTGAAGATACGAGTTAACTCATTCATTGATAAGCATGGTATTTTAAGTGTGGCTCAGTACGGATTTCGGGCAGGGAAAAACACGAACGACGCGGTGTTTTCTTTCCTAAGTAACCTTTACCTAAGACTGAATGAGAGAGAACTGGCTGCAGCAGTGTTCTGTGATCTCTCAAAAGCGTTCGACTGCGTAAATCACGGAATACTGCTTCAAAAGCTTGAGGTGTATGGCTTTCGGGGTACTGCTCTTGCCTGGTTCAAGTCTTACTTGAGCGAAAGAACACAGAGGGTGGGTGTGCGAGGTTCCGAATCGAGCGAACTGACTGTTTGCTCCGGAGTACCGCAGGGCTCCATACTAGGACCTATTCTGTTCTTACTTTATGTCAACGACATTTCCACTCTCAGGATTAAGGGTAGTTTCACGTTGTTTGCCGATGACACCACTATATTGTGGCATGGTTTTGATCCTATTGAGTTGAGTGAGACAATTTCTAGGGATATTGCACTTGTGAAGCTATGGTGTGATGCCAACTATTTATCTCTTAATGTTTCCAAGACAAATGTTTTACAATTCAATGGTTCCTTGCCTGACATAGCCCTTGACACGGGAAAGATTTCAAATTGCACAGATGTTAAATTTTTGGGTTTATGTATAGATAGCAAGTTATGTTTCAAGGCCCACATCTTGGATCTTTGTTCAAAGTTGGCAACAGGCTGTTTTGTTGTGAGGGTTGTGTCGCGTGAACTTGATATAAGTATGGCTCGTACAGTGTACTTCTCTTTGGTGGAGTCCCGCATCAGATATGGTATTCCTTTCTGGGGAAACTCAAGCCAATATTTGCTGAACTCCGTTTTTGTGTTACAGAAGCGCGCCATAAGGTGTATCTGCAAAGCTGGTATTAGAGACTCTTGCAGGCCTTTGTTCATCAGACATAAAATTCTTACTATGACGGGTCTCTATATACTGGAAACAGTTTCCTTGGTGCACAAGGGGCATCATACTCCGACAGTGGGCGGTGGCCCTTACAACACCAGACAAGTTGGTAATTTGCCTTTGCCTATACCACACTCCACTTTGATAAAAAACTCTATCATTTACAATGCCAGAAAAATGTATAACCACTTGCCAATGGCTGTGAGAACCATACAGTCTGTCAAGAAATTTAAGCATGCT